ACGACACAGAACGGATCTCCAAGACTACAGCAGTCTCTGGCGACGCCGGACAAAGCTAAATACGATCCGTGGTGAAAAGCCATATAGCTTAATTTAACACAGTTTTAATCTAACAACCGGGCACGGCATCACAATATAGAATGCAAGTAATCAACATTGATGCTCACCGACTTTGTCCCTCCAGAGGGAATGATTAAAGAGATACATTTCTGCAATAGAAATGAAGCAAGACAAACCGCACTACTTTGCACATGGCAAATTACAGAGCTGTCAAACTCTACAAAGCGATAGATAACAGCTGAAACTATGCAGAGCTCTGACGTCTACTTAACAGTACAACGGCTCTTCTCCACTTTTAGCAAAATCATCCTGATAATACAACATTAAGTGCCCTTCAAAAACAAGTGAAGAGCAAAATAAAAGGTTGAGAAGCTGGAATTTATAAGAGAACGGCAAATGTAGAAATGTCACGAGCCGTAGCAGTCCGTGTAGGCCTGTCACTCGAGTTAAACACATTTTGTTTTTTTCTCGCGTCTGACGTCACGTGGCTTAAAGCAACCAATCAACAAAAACCGTTCACCAGGCGAACGGTTGGAAGAGCATAAACAATAGTGTGACTACAGGCGGATTTTCTCGCCTCGCGCTTCGCGCGCGCTCGTGTATCGCGCTAGAGCCCGCTAATCCACCTGTACTGCAGGCTAAAATGATCTTGTTGTTATGTCTTTGCGGCCATGGTGTGAGCTAAGCCATAGTCATAGAGGGGACAGGTTACGAAGCCCGACAAACATTAAAGGAGCAAACAAAGATTTCAAGATTTATGTTGGAAGGTCCGCGACCGTGCACAACCTTTTGTTTTGCGCTCATACACTATGCATGAATAATGTAACCAAAACGTTTCTATTGGTTAGATCCTCTGTACAGAGTAAACAACTATCGTGTTTTGTGCGCGATCAAGGCCAGAAAAGCGAACAAAAACATAAAACAAAGAACCTTGTGAGGTTTCATAACCATTTCCTTTCATTATCTGTGGCCAAGCCTAGAAAGGAATTACATTTATAATTTGGTTTACAGAGAGTAACATTTTGGTATATTACTAACAACCATTACAGCTCGACTATGTTATTTTTGTTTCACATTTTGGTGAGCTAACTATTTAGTACAAACAACACAGGTCAGTTCATATCCATGAATGTACGGCTTGCATGGTAAGGTCGCGTGCCCACAGTTACCCTGTACTACGTATAACAAAGCCCCATCTGTGTCTCTGTGGCTCCCGGGCAAGACCTCGGCATCTACGTCGACGCACACAAATTCACTAGGATGGGCATGGTCGTAGTGAGAGGTCATCAGATACCCATAATACTCTCTGGTCCAACCTGAAGGACACTTGTTGGTTCCAGGAATCATCACTTGGGACCCACGTGATCTGACGTAGCACACAGCACACGGTGCGTCATGCTGATGAAGACTGCCTGTGGTGAAGCCCGCGAATGATGTTTGGTATTCAGTACCGTACATTCCTGCTGTACCCTGCCACCCACTCTGGAACTTGTCATAAATGGGATTGTCGGTGAGACAGACGTAGTTAGTGCCACCGCCAGTGTGAGTGTAGTATCCACCACCCATTGCGCCTGCATCGAAGGCAAAAGACATGCATCAAATAGTAGCGGAGCTCTGTTGGCCCGAAGGGCTGCCAAGCGGAGCACCATACTCATATAGGAAAGAAAAGGGAACCCATGAATTGATTTTCTCTTGATAATCATGGCAAGTGGTATTGCTCGTGAGTGCGTAGGTACGGCGGCGACGACGGAGTCGCGCAAGATTGCGGTCATACTCTAACTAATAGATTGACAGAGAGATGCAGCCTTGGTTTATAGCGTCCACCTTTGATATTGGTATCCATACTAGGGTCAATTGACACCTGTCAAAACAAGGTATCCGCTGACCAGTATTACGTGACCATATCGTGGATTTAAGTGAAAAGATCATCAAGTTCTCGTGTTTTTTGAAGTTGATCAATGACCAAGTGCTGGTTTTCGATTGGATCGCGGGCTCATGGCAGGTTAACATGTAGTCAGGGTCGAGCTGTTCGAAAGCCGGTTAACGCTAACCGAGGATTAAAAGTTAACCGAAGAATACATTTTTGCCTATTTTTTTTTTTTTTTCACTGATTTTGTTTTGTGTAGTCATACATACTCAAAACAGAAGGCCAAACAATTTACAAAGAACCTCGCCGCAAAGTTACAAAACTCGAATCAAAATTCTCGCTTATTCTGGGTTAGCTTTATCAGGCTCTGAACAACCCAGGCCAGGGGCTCCGCCTTTAGGCCTGGTTAAACCTACATATTAAACCGGCCCGAGCAGCAGAGAACAGAGGAATGATTGACCGACTGTGGAAAAGATGGAAGCAGAAAGTGATGAGTGAGTGAGTGACAACCTGACAGATGGGCCCAAGAACCTGGTCAAAGGTCGCCAATGAAACAGTTCAATTGAGAAATGATTCATCTCCTCCTCCCCTCTCTAGGGGGATGGTTTAAAAGACCTCGTTAGGCAATCTCGGTGAAATTCATAGGCTTCAGTAACACGAAAGACATTTGACAAGAGAGGCGTGAGGAGGTACAATGGGAACTGGATTTTCCTATGTTTTTACTGGTAAAATGCGATCGATTCAGGTCGATCACGCCGAATAAATAATTGAGCAAAAAATAAGTTGCAAAATAGGATGCAAAACCTTTGGGCCCGTTCCCCCGTTCACTTCAGGGCCCTCTTTAATTTATTTAGATACACGCCTTTTCTGTCGATACCTGTGTACACTGTAACGGCATCTCCTGAGCAGTTCGTACGTCCCCAGCGGTTGTAACTCACACCTGACAGCCCCGGTCCTTCTGGTCCCATTGTTCCTTGAAGTCCAGCAGGTCCCTGGGGCCCAGGACCTCCTACTCGACCAACATCACCTATAAATTTAACAAAAAGCAACAAAAATGCGTTGTTGATTTCACAAACATCCGGAAGTGAAACCGGGAACTTTTTGAAAGCAATAAACAATCAATCGTAAAATATCCATGTCAGAGGACTCTTCTCAGACTCTTGACCGAAAAAAGATTAAGGGTGGATAGACGCTACGGACTCAGTGAACCAGAAAAGTTTTCCAACATTCACGTTGGCTAGCTTCAAATACCTTTTGGTCCCGCAATTCCTCGAGGTCCCGAGGGACCTTCTCTTCCATCTCTACCGTCCCGTCCTGAAAATTTANAAATAAGTTACTTTTTTAACCATCATGACAGCTCTCCAGGCCGTCATGTAAATGCCGCGTCACGCAAAAGCTTAGAAATTCAAGCGTGGTGTATCACAAGACCAAGAACCCATTCGGAGCGAACATTTATATGAATACCGTATTAGTTTTGAGCTGCTCTTATGCATCATTAAAGTAAAATCTCAGGGAGATCAATAGTTTTATAGTTTTAATTCTAGTGACGTCTTGTGAAAACCACCTATTAAGGACTCCTTTTCTCTTGTTACCTGTGTACACTACACTGGCATCTCCTGAGCAGTTCGTTCGTCCCCAGCGGTTGTAATTCACACCTGACAGCCCCGGTCCTTTTGGTCCCATTGTTCCTTGAGGCCCCGCAGGTCCCTGGGGCCCAGGACTTCCGGCTCGACCAACATCACCTATGTAGTTCAAAGAGGAAAGAACGTGATGTGTTGTAGATTTTTAACATAAACAACCGCAGGTGGAACCAGGAATTTTTAAAGGAATAGAAAATCAATCGCAAAACATCCATGTGAGAAAACTCTTCTCAGACTTTTGACCGAATAAAGATTAAGGGTGGATAGACGCTACAGACTGAGTAAACCAGAAACGTTTTGCAACATTCACGTTGGCTAGCTTCAAATACCTTTTGGTCCCGCAATTCCTCGAGGTCCCGAGGGACCTTCTCTTCCATCTCTACCGTCCCGTCCTGAAAATTTATAAATATATTGACTTGCTACTTTCTTTGCAATTTCAACTGAGAAATCAAATAACGTTACATAGTATGTGGTGACTACTATAGTAACAACAGGAAAAGAATCAAGCTAAACTGAACAGGCAACAAACCAATGCAAACTCACTGGCATGAATCTAGGCAAGCGATATTCTAAAATCTTCAATCCAGCTAACAGATCTGGTGTACACGATGCATCTGCACTTTGAGAACCAGCTGATAAGTCATACGATGAGAATGGGTTGGTCGCTTAGCAACACAGAGTAGTGTGTAGTAGTATTTTGGACGAGCAAACAAACTACTGAGACATAAAACTATTTAAACGCAACACTGAAGTCGTACATGATTCTCCTGCTCTAGATTAAGTCACTTTTGCTACCACTGCACAAAGCCTCGTTAATTGAGAGTTATTCGGTCAAATGAACAAGGAAAAAAACAAACAAATCAAAAGGCAAGCCGACTCTAAATAGAGGTAAATGGAAGATGTGTATTACCAGCAGGTCCGGGAGGTCCTGGCATTCCATCTCTTCCGTCTCGACCTAAACAAAATTTCATCCACTCAAAAAGTCTTTCAGTTGACCTTTAGCATTCAAAACCAAATTTAAGGTCTACAAGACAGACAGCATTATCATCGGTGGAAACGGAGATCGATCTATTCCTAAGGGTATGGGTATAGAGAACTAATATGATTGGCAGATTTTACTGAATGTGAATCAGTAAATGACTATTTACAAGTGTCTTTTAGTGCATTCTGTCCCCTTTCTTTAAGATATTTTGACAATGTTATGACGAAATTCGTGATCAATAACAGGACAGACACATGAAAAACTGAAGTTAATTTGTTAAGNAACAAATCAAAAGGCAAGCCGACTCTAAATAGAGGTAAATGGAAGATGTGTATTACCAGCAGGTCCGGGAGGTCCTGGCATTCCATCTCTTCCGTCTCGACCTAAACAAAATTTCATCCAATCAAAAAGTCTTTCAGTTGACCTTTAGCATTCAAAAGCAAATTTAAGCTGTACAAGACAGACAGCTTTATCATCGGTAGAATCGGAGATCGATCTATTCCTAAGGGTATGGGTATAGAAAACTAATGTGGTTGGCAGATTTTACTGAATGTGAATCAGTAAATGACTATTTACAAGTGTATTTTAGTGCATTCTGTCCCCTTTCTTTAAGATGTTTTGACAATGTTATGACGAAATTCGTGATCAGTAACAGGACAGACGCATGAAAAACTGAAGTCGATTTGTTAAGGGAATAACTGCCTACTGACCTCGAAGCGTGGACCTGCTTTCCAGTGCGATAATTCTCTTGGTAAGGTCAGCCAAAGTCATTGTTGGATTAGCATTCCGCTTATGTCTTACGTGCACAGCGCTGGAGGATTCTTTAGCGTCATTCTTGAACCGGACTTGTTTGAGTTCTTCAGAAATTTCACTGAGCTTGCTTTCAAGTAAAGACATTCGCCTTTGCATGGACACCAGTGACACAAACAGTACGGCAATGCAAGAGAGCATGCTCAATATTGCCATGAAATACACAAAGCGACGAAATCGCTCCGAGGTCAAACATTTCGTAGGTTTCCGCTGTTTACTTATTTCTTCTTCCATTTGAGTAAGTGAATTCAAAATTCTACCTGTGAGGTATCAAAATGATTGTCAAATTTTGAATCCGACTGTAGGGAGGCTTCGTCTTCTTGGAAGGTGGACCTTTTGTGCAGACTATAGATATATAGCACGTAATATCACGATTGATATCACGATTGATGTCACGTGCAGAGTGGCCTTGACATCACTTATACCGTAGTAATTTTAGTGGTTTCGATTTCATTTACAGTTAGTTTCTGTTATTCTTCACCTAAAACATTTTGCGCTATTGCATGTCTAGAGTGCTAGCTAGTACGAAGGAACCAAAGTACTATTTTTATGTTTCTTATTACTGTAATTATCTGTACTATTCCAGACATGTGGCTTTATTACCAGAACTAAACTACGAGATTCACAAGCCAAAAGAAAAAGATTGAAAGTGGGTCAATTTTTGCGTCGCCAAAATGGTACTATACGAATTGCAGGTTTTCATGGGACGTTGTAATATTTCAAAATAATAAAAAGAAAGAAAAAGAAATACCTATCCCTCTGAGTTCTAATGAGAGAAGACACTCTAAGAACGTGATGTTTTACAAAGTTGTACCTTGACAGGATTCTTAAAATGGCGGTCCGAGAATGCTGTCATGTAAAGGTCAAGAGATGCCTCATCTTTTGAGTTTTTGCCAACTCAACAGTCCTTATGTTAAACTAAGTATTAATTTCAATGTATCCAGAGTTCCAGAGTTCCAGAGAGTCAGTGACCGATGTTTCTATTACTTTAGAGTCGCCATTTTGGTTTCCTCCGATGGACTCCAACATGGCGTCTACAAATACACAGTTCTATAAATTTGGATGAAAGATTTTCTCGAATAACACAGATTATATATGAAACCCCCACAGACTTAAACCTCGGCAAGGAAGTTTATATATTAATCACAAACCATATCATGTCCGGTCACATTCTTGACTTAATCATCAATGGTTACGAAATACGTTTTTATTTAACTGTAACGTGCCAGAACACACCAACGGCTGATGTTGGTCATTTAACAAGTTGCAACTGGTTATGTAACTCAAGTGACAATTTTTTTTACAGGAGAAACTTAGGCGCTGGCTGATGGTTGTTTTTCTCTTTGAAATAGCAAAGTGAGTCGAAGATCAAAGGAATGCCTTCAAAAACCGCAGCTTTTCAAACAGGACACTGCTTTGAGGAAAAATACGAGAAACTGGCTTTACCGTGCTCAGTCAGCGCACAGCAATGTCAAATTCAGAGCCCGCAGTCGCATTTTTGAGCTCCCCAGTGATAGGAAACAGACAGAACGTCCTGTTGCATTTTAAGACTGAATAACATTGCCAATTCTTGATGGAAGACGGCAAAACGAAAACTCTGGTTTGAGGTTAGATGTAAAGACAGTAATCCAAAATTCTTTTGGCTACCAGCTCATGATCGCGTTGGTGTTCAATGAGAAGACTGTTTTGCGTTCTATAGCCTGCGAACAGGCTCCCGGCGAATTCTTCAATTTCGCGCTCGTCCGCTCCCTTCGCTCGCCAATTTTTTTTCCTTCTTCGCCAGGAGCCTGTTCGCAGGTTATGAGTTCAAGCCTTGCCAGCGTAGACAGTCTTGATTCGAGTACATATTTGAGTGTTCTCTCTTCATGCTAGGAAAGCCTGGTGCTGGGAAAGCTTAGCACTGTTTTAGCATGCAACGGGCAGTGATCTCCAAACCTTCTCAAGAACGCTATCTTGAAGTATGACCCAGGGAAACTGAGTGAGTCACATCAAGCATTAACTATCTTCTAAGAAACTAAACATACGGGCCAAAGAAATCTTGTGCGATATTCCTATGCTTAGGATGTTTATTTGTGTGTAATAGTTGAAAGTTACACAAAGGCTGTCACTCTCTAAGATCTAGAAAAAAAAGGCGAAACATTGCATTCAAAGATATCACGGCTATCTTGGCATACAGCAGGATATCCAGGCTTTGAAAGTGACATCTGCAATTTGGTTACAGAGAGCAGTATTTTTATTAATTGCTAACTACCTTTCACCGCTCGAGCAAATTATGGTCGCGTTACATTTTTGAGTTAACTATTTAGTACAAACGACACAGGTCAGTTCATAGGCATTAATATACGGCTTGCAAGGTAAGGCATGGTTACAATTACCCTCTACTACGTACAACAAAGCCCCATCTGTGTCTCTGTGGCTCCCGGGCAAGACCTCGGCATCTACGTCAACACACACAAATTCACTAGGATGGGCATGGTTATAGTGAGAGGTCATCAAATACCCATAATACTCTCTGGTCCAACCTGATGGGCATTTGTTGGTTCCAGGAATCATCACTTGGGAACCANCACTGTTTGCCACCCCTAATAGTGTTTTGCAATATTTAGAAATATAATATACAAGAAAAAAAAAAAAACATCAAGAGAAGTAAAAGGAGAATACAAACAAGAAAATCAGGATTGCATGAAGTGATCAAGCTAAGTCTGCCTTTGATTGAAGCTTTCAGATTGTATTAGAGAACCTTTCTCGACATGGGTGCATTTCATGTCCACACTGGCGTATCTAAAGAGAAGCTAGTTTGTCACAACATGGGGGGTTCTATTATCTTGTTTACTCAAAACAATTTATATTACAAAAGCAAACACATCTTATCACTGTCAGTTTCATCCATAATCCTTTTTAACTGAGTGTATTTATGCACAATGTATAAGTAATTGGAGACATCATGTCTTTCCTTCTACTGGCATTTGATATTAGACTTACGGAATAAAACAAAGAAAAGCATCTTTTATGTTTTTATTTCTGCTCCATTTTTCAAAAGCCGGAAATTGCGGTCTGGTTGGCTCGATTTCACATTCGGTGCTCTCTTCTTGACTTAAAAATTTTAGCCCGTGTAATTAAATTAGCATATTTCTCAAGTCACGCAAAAGAAAACGAAATTAAGGCGCTCTGAATTTTTTCTTCATTCTGCGATAGCATCAATAAAAGAATTGATTTTCTTTTACAGAATAGAGATCTGCACCCAGCGTTTCTGGAATCTTATTAGAAAACAATTCAGACTTCCTAAGGCTTCAGTAATATTTATTCTCAAGCACGTTCCGTTGAAATTTCCCAGTGGGTTCCGTTTCGAATCTAAAACAATGACGATGTCAAATAATAAACAACTGCTCGTTTCGTCTGACACTTTTGGGCACAAAATGCCCTGAAATAAAACCTCCAAGTTGAGTGTTCAACACCATGGTTGACCCAAAGCGTTAAAAATGACAAATCTCACAAATCTACCGGCCGCTCAGGCAAAGAAAGCGCTGTTCAATTTGAAATCGGAGCGCAAATTCCCGTCGAGTTTTCGATGAAAGTGTCCTTGTCTGCCTGAACCTTGGCAGACCGTTTCACTTTCGGGTCGCGGTAGAGTGCAGGGACACGAAAGCTACAAAATTTTCTTCGTGGTCTGTCTTTTGTTGTAGGCTTAATTGTATAATTGCAGACTACCGCTCGCTTTAAGAAGTGGCTGAAATGGAAGCTTGAATAAAGAAACTTCCGCGAATGTACAGAACTGTAAAAGTTAACTTACTCTTCGCTCTTCAGAGAGGCCGCCGGGGCAACATAATTACTGGGGATGTAGCCAACAGCATTTGTGGCCAGGGAACGTGCCTGCCACCAATCTGCTCCATTCAGCGCATCGTTACTGTTAATCACTTCGAGTTTTTCTCCTTTCTTAAAACTAAGGTCCTCCGCTGTTCTTGCTTCGTAATCGTACAGCGCAACAAACAACAGCTTCTGTTCAGCCGGCTGTTGGGGAATTTCAGGGAGGGCAGGCAGCACTGGTAAAGCTTCATGATTCTGCAAATCCTTTTCGTCAGCGTTCACGTTATCAAAACTTTGAGCAGTTTTCGAAGTCTTACCGTTTCCGTTCGCTTCGTGTCTGCTTCTCTTGCTATAAGCACAACCCATTCCATGCACTGTTTTTCAGAAGATAGTGTTAACTGCGGTTGTCAGTTTCAAGTGAATGTTATGATTACAACACAACTACAAGTGCCGTACGCGAAAAGCAATATAAATTCAGAGTTTCCTATCCTTTTTCCGCCGAACCGGATTGAAGATCAACAATACAAAGAAAACTTCTCCGAACGAGGCGGCTCCCATTACGTCATTGCCGATGACACACCGAACTAATCCCGACTACCACGAACAATTCCGAAAACTTTCGACGAATTTCGTGCCCAGTTCAGCTCGACCATTTCTTCAAAATTTGTGTTCAATATGGCGGAAAGAGGCGGCTCTTCGCTTTCAGGAAATTCAAGTTCCTCTGGGTCTTCAAGTCGAATTGACAGTGTTCAAGTAGATGGATTGGTAAATATAACTCACTTACAGAATTTTTACTCGCCTCTAGTTCACTTCTGTTTCTAAATGTAGCAGAAAAGTCGTAAAATATTGTTACACGTGATCGCATATAATTAAGCTAGCTAAAATGAATTTGACTCTCATTTCATTGTGTAAGGGCTTTTCCTTATATCTTTTCTTACTTAAAAACATTAAGGCCGTTGAGGAAGTATCCAGGGTCGTGTAAAATGTGAAATATTGTTGAAAATTATCTTACTTAGATTAAATTGATTTTACCTTGTCAGTCACTCGATACAAATCCATTAGTAATTTTAAAGCTTTAGAAAAAGGCACCTAGTGGCCCAAATCACTGCCGCGGTAGTAACTTATGTGATTGCTTCAAGGTTGTGTTGAAAATAATCAAACATTGTCAAGATGAAAGATCAGCTGGAGAGGTGGTACAAGGAGTGTTACTTGGATTAATTCAGAATAACAAACTTGAGATCACAAACTGCTTCCCCTTCCCGTCATCAAGAGCTGGAGATGACGATGATGAAGATGATGGTAAGAGAATTAGTAAATAAGTAGCTTCTCAAACCTAGTTGTTAACTACAGTCAAACCTCCACTAACGGCCACCTTCCTACAGCAGCCACCTCTCTTCAACGGCCACTTTCTTTTGTCCCTGCTGAATGTCCATACATTCACTTTTATTTTAACCTCTCTACAACAGCCACCTCTCCACAATGGTAACGGCCACCAAAGCATGTCCCAAAATACCAAAATAACCTCTCTACAATGGCCAGTTAATCAACTACTGACCAATGGTGAATACAAATCCCCATTTTACGTTTTTTCAAAAAATATATAAAACTTGATCCGTTTCGCATGTCATTGGTCTCTGTTTCTGTATGGTTTCTGTTTTATTGCTATATTTTGATTGTGTTAGGTATTTTTCTGTTTTACAGTCAATTATCAGATGGAGATGATGCGTCGCTTACGAGCTGTTAACGTTGATCACTTGCACGTGGGGTGGTATCAGTCAACTTACCTTGGGTCATTTGTGAACAAAACATTACTTGACTCGCAGTTCAGTTACCAGAGTGCAATTGAGGAATCTGTTGTACTTATTTATGGTAAGAACAGAATGATTCTGTTATAAAAAAATCAGTAGTATACTGAGTGGCAGCAAATCGATAAAAACGCTATCCCACATGTGAGGATATCATTTTTATCCACACATGTGTGATATCATTTTTTAAAACATCTCTATCCCTTTAACTGCACTTAAATTTGTTGGTATATGATCGAAGCATCTTCAGATCTTCTTCAGAAGTCTTCAGCAATCTTTGGTTATCTTTGAAAATTGTCAGAAAAATGTTCAGAACGTTCGTCTGACCTTTGGACAAATTTTGAACTATCTTCAGAAATCTTCAGAAAATCACCAAAAACATTTTTATGTATTGTGAGAATATTTTTCAATACTTGAACAGAATTTTGTATCTCCATGCAGCCATGTAATATCCTCTNTTAATCAACTAACCAGAGTGAAAAAAAATAAATCTGCAACAAAACATTTGGACGGTGAATCTGGATATTTTTTTAATCCGATGACATAGCATAATTGTGTCCAGTCTCTTACCGAACAATAAAACAATATGGTGGCACAACGTGTAGGCCTAGTTTCTCTAAAGTGAATCCAGATACCATCAGATGCATGTGGACAGGCAAATTCGATTTGAATACACTATGTGTGAACAGGGAAATTTTTGAATCCGGAAAGAAAAAGTTGCGGATTCTAAAATATCCGGATATGTGTGGATGGGGCCTTAGTGTCAAATACAAATCATTGAATGTTCTGTCATACTCATCCACTGCCATTATGTAACAAGAGATTTCTTTCCATATATTTTTAGCAAGCTGAAAATACTACACGGCATAATCGAGGGGAACCTCCTTTACCAGAGGAAGATATCTCGAAGATATTTAAGCCCCTACAGTCGCCGTCACGCCTTGATTACCTTCTGTTATCTCAGCAAGTAAACACATACAGTGCACAAGTGAACCAGTTTTCAACACACAGCTTTGGAAAGCTATTCCTTGCACAAGCTCTGCAGGAAAATGAGAAATAGATGTGTAGATATGTGAGCAGCAAAATAAAATTATGCCATGATCCAACAAGTAGCTGTGATGTTCATTTCTTTAGGGGGGGGGGGGGACAGCAGGATTGCACAGTAAAGGGAAATAGCTGAGAAATTGCTGCTTATTTGTGGGCATGTGTAATATTCAGTTCCGGTTTTGCAATGTTCGCAGTTTCCAGTCACGTGACCAAAGGTGTGATGAGTCCGTTCGTATAAGTTATTCACATGCTTGTGTGTATTTGCATATTATTCTAGTTCTTGTAGTCTTCATACCATGATGTTCTAAACATCTCTCTCGTCTGGTTTAAAATGGTTTATTGGTTCACTGCTACTACATGGTGTCAAAAGTGGGAGAGGAGAGGTTAACCAAAAACTTGACAATTGGTAGGCCAGGGGTGTTTGAATTTCGTGCTTCTCCTTTTTTCAATTCTTTCCTACCCACCTTCTTACAGTTGTCTGCATGTTTTTCTTTGCTTTTTTACAGCCCTTTCTCAGTTTACTGGTTGTTATATCACATAATCTTGTGTCTGAGTTTCCAACCTTCTCCCTGACAGTTCCCTTCCATTTTGATAAAGAATAGGAGGTCCTTTACAAGCAGGCTGATAGTGTACTGGTCTGTCATGAAATATTCCATCAAGCCAGGTGGTCCATTCTGCTAAAGCTTACCCTGGTCTCTGTCGCATTAGCAACTAGGAATATTTCTACTCTCCCCTGCATAGGATGCCAGTCCTTCACAAGATAACCCCCCAGCATGTACCGGTTCCCAACTGAACACCTTGGTTCAGTGTGCTAACCATTAAGGTTGGAACATGCTCCAGGAAGGAAACGTGACTGTTGTGGGGACATGAAGCAGGAACATGTTGCAGGCACAGTTTTCCTCAGGTGACATAACAGAATTTAGAAAATGCAGGATTTTAGTTTGAACAGATGTAGGTTACTTCAACTGAATTGTGTAAGGAACAATCAAGTTTACTGTACATTATATTTAGACACTTCTAATGACAAATTTCATTAAACACAAAGAAACTCTATTTATAAAACTCAGTAATAGAATGGTAGTGTGGAACACGTTGGCTTGAATGAAAGCAAAGATTTTGAAAATGAATGAACAACAGTGGGCTTGGCCTTACAGAGAGAGTTTGTCATCCTTTAATTATCAATAGTACAGTGGAGCCACATTAATACAGTCATCAATAGGGCATGAAAATTTGGCCATAATGGGGTGGGGTCAAATTTCATAGCTGGTCTAAATTGAGTGACAGCTTAACAGATATAGTAGATATATCAATTTAACCTCAAAACAACTGTCCTCAATAAGCATCCGGAATGCAGATATAATTTTATTGACAATGGGAAGATGAGCATAACTGGGTTGAGTGGTTGTATAAACAGAGAAAAATTACAAAGGATCATACAGGTTAGGATTTTGGAGAATGGCTGTTGGCTGTATTTATGGGGTGGCAGCATTAACAGGGTTTTCTTATGAGAAAATGTACTGGCATTTCGCTGGGACAAAAAGTGGCAGTAACTGTATTAACAAAGTGATCGTAAGGTGGGGTTCCACTGTACTTGTCCACTCAAACCACTGAAACTACACTATCAAACAGATAGAAAATGAGCATACACAAAGTCATCACCTAGGGTCTACTGTTGAGCCATAACATTTCAAGAAATGTCTGGCAATTAGACATACAGTTCAACCTCCGGTTGCAACCACCTCTCGTAAGCGACCACCTCTCCTCAGCGATCAGTTTTCCAAAATAACAAACATTTCCCAGTGAAATCACTATATTTGGAACCTTTTGTAAGCGACCACCTCTTGTTAGCAACCGCAACCACTTTTAGAGCTAAAAGTTCGAAATTTTCTTTCGTTTCTAACCTCCTGTAAGCGACCACTTGACAGATAATAAGGCATAAATTGGATGACAAGGGTGTAACATTACTGCATTCCTGGGTAGTATGAGAGGCAGAAATTTCTCTATGGGAAGTACCAGGTTTTTTCTCAAAATTGACTTTTCACATGAATAAAACAGTTAAAACATAGGGTAAGTCTCTGCAATTACCATATGCTAATGAAGAAAAATTTTGACCCAATATGATCTAAGCTCTCATAGGTGACCACCTTCCATAAGTAATCTCTCAGGCTTGACATATTGGGTGGTCGCTTATGGGACGTTTGACTGTATTTTAACACATCGGACCTATAATTTAACACATCAGGCACCTTGTTTAATGCATCTTGGAAATGGCTGGGTTTATGGTAATAAGCCAAACAAATACTGCCTACATCTATTCACTGAAGTTGAAAAATATGCTACCACTTTACATAAAGTTTTTTATTTGCCTGCCTAGTAAAGCTGGTTATAAACATGCTGAAATGTTTTGGTGTAAGCCTCGTGCTCCTCTGGCGTCATTTCCCTCAACATTTCATCAGTGACATCATCAATTGGCACCATCTTGTCTCCAATTTTGATTTCATGTGTGTCGTCATCTTCTTGCTCACTTTCAGTGTGAGTTTCCATGGCTTCTGTTACTTCACTTGCTTTTGCTGCTGGTCCAGGAGTTGGTGTCTCAAAGTCAGAGTCATCACTTGGACCAGAGTCACTGTCATCGTTATCTACCCCCTCGCCAAGGGCTTCATTGATATCTAGACGTGGTTTCTTATTAACTGATTCATGAACCAATAGCTCTGCAAGGATTTCATCATCCTTTCCAGAAGTCCCTGGCTTCTTGTGGTCAGATCCCCCATGACGTGTTTGATCACTGGCAGCAACATCACTTTGTACCCCTAAAGCTGGTGTCACTGTACTTTGCCTCATCCATATGGGTGCCTCCTTCGCCCGAGGTTTGTTAGTTGCTGCATCTTCATCATTTTCATCTCCCATTATATCTACTTTAATACCCGGTCCATTCACATCATTGCCACCAGTAGAATCATTGGCCCATGATGGTTTATTACCTCGGTGTCCTGAGGGGCGAGACCCGTGACTTCCACTGGCAAGTTGGGCTGGCTGTGGTTCTGGCTCCAGAATGGCAGGTGCTAGATTGATATCTTCACAGTCCCTAAGCAGTCGGAAAATTGGCTCCATTTGCTCATTAAAGCGAGCCAAGCTTGTTCTGGAAGTGTTGCTTTGTTTAATTCCAGCAGCATCCTCCTCTACTAAGCCCTCACATATGGTGCATTTTAATTGACACGTTTCCAGATCCAACAAGCGATCAACTTCTAAATCGGAATACTTTTTCTCGCACTGGGTACATACAAACGATGGCCGATTTTTCGCTTGCTTTTCTTCGCTTTCAATCTTCTTTCGCACATGATCCAACTTGTACTTAACAACATTGACAAAAACCTTGTAGTTAATAAAATAGTAGTTGAAACTGATCAGGGCTCCCGTCTCGGGATTCTTTTCCTTGTGCACTCTTTGCTTTATGAGTTTTTCGTTCTTTAAGCGCACTAGACTTTGTCGTAATTGCTTCTTGTCAAAGCCCAACTGTCGGATCAAATCATCTTCTTGTAAACACGGATATTGAGAATTGGTAAGTAAAGTTATGATAGCGGCGTGTTCGTTTTCGTAGAATCCTCGAACAACTTTTTTACAGAGACGCTTGAGTACGTTAGGAACTGTTGTAAGTAATTCCTGTTCGTCTATTGCGCCGTTCATCGTGTTCTCTGTCTTTCTCGGCGTCTACTGTGCTTTGCAGCCAGGCCTAAACGGACGGCCGTGGGGACAAATCCCTGGGCCGGGTTGTCCGGAGGACTTAACGCGAAGTATAATTTTTCTTGTATACAAATGTTTTTCACTGCTTATGTTTTGTGNCGGGTTGTCCGGAGGATTGAAAGTTTAAAACCGAACGCGAAGTATAATTTTTTCTTGTATACAAATGTTTTTCACTGCTTATGTTTTGTGTATTTTGAGATTATTCAAAGTCAAAACAGAGGGCGAAACAATAAAAACAGAAAATCTCACCGCAAAGTTACAAAACTCAAATCAAAATTCTCGCTGGACATTTCAGGCTTTTTGCCGGTTTTCATGCGTGTGACGTCATCATTTTCCAAAATAAAAAAATACCAGTTCTTCTGAAGTTTGACTTTCACCAGATGTAAGACCCTCTAATAACTTGACGCTTTACAACTTCTAAGCTCGACAGGTTTCCTCATTTAACAAATGGTAAACGCCATAGCGTGCACTATTGAGTTATGGATGCACGCGGGAGCTGAGGTTGCTAAGCACGAAAGAAGCGTAAGAGTCGCACGAGGCGATAGCCTCGTGCGACTCTAGCTTCTTGAGTGCTTAGCAAACCTCCCAAGTGCA